AAAAATAAATAAATAAGATATTCTGCTGTGGAATTACCCTGTGAAACTCATTTTACTTTTAAATGAGGCAGGTTAGTAGTGTCCAGAGGTACTCGGCGAGAATAAAAAGACCAGATAAAATGGCGGTAACACAAACGATCTTAATCAGGAAGAGCTAAGTTCTATGCAGTGGGTCTCCCTCATCCTCCTCTTCACAGAAAATAGAATAAATTACCCTGGTGCTATTTAATATAGTAGTTGTGTGACTTGGGATTGCTCTTTTCTAAGATCACATAATTCTGCTGCTACATTGTTTACCTGTGCTAAGTCATAACTGGGTGAAATTTTCAGTTTGTACCTTTCTGTTGTGCATACATATCCTGACCTATTGCGTTCCATTTATCTCTAGGAATTTCTCCCCCGCCTGAAGATTGTAGAAACTTGCTATGAAACAAGGGTGAGAAGTACCAAGAAGGACTGTGTTGGATTTTATCTCCTGGTCTAAAGTTAGCCACATGTGACTTTATTCTTTACTAAAATCAAACCTGGCGAACTTTCGTCAAGGGATACAATCCAGTGCAATCCATCCCGACACTTCCAGTATAACATAGAATTAACTTTCCTTTCTTGTTTTCCAATGGAAAGTACAGAGACAATTCACCACAAAGATGCCAAAGAACAGGGCAATGCAGGTCTACATCCATAGTGAATCACGGTCAAAGATGGTTTTAACGTTAATACTGGAACTTCAGGCTGTATGTGGCTCTAGTCTTTTTCTCTCTCTTTGACTTTACATTTGTTGTCAGAAATGAGGGTGCTTTCAAAATAGGCTTAACTTGCTGTTGATGCCATATTGTTAATTAGGAATTTTCAAAGAGCATCCCAGTCTGCCAGTGTTGTGACCTGTCAAGCTGCTGAGAGACTGCTGGTCCTCTCCTGATACCAGCTTAGCCTGCGATTGACACTTGTACCCAATTTGTATAAGGCTGCTTGAAGTGTCTGTGTTCTTCTTCTTGATGGGCTTGTTTGTTTACAGGAGACTCAGGGAAATCGCAAATCCTCTTCAATATTTGAGTGTTCAGGCACTTTTCGAGTAGCTGTGTGTATTTTTTTAAAAAAGCCACCTTTGATTATCCAGGTCAAACTTTTTGCAAACTGTCTCGTAAGGTTTGTATAAAGGAAATGGTTCCTCTTCATCCTGGAGAAGAGTGACTAGTGGGGTGCCACAGGGTTCTGTCTTGGGCCCGGTCTTATTCAACATCTTTATCAACGACTTGGATGATGGACTCAAGGGCATCCTGATCAAATTTGCAGATGACACCAAACTGGGAGGGGTGGCTAACACCCCAGAGGACAGGATCACACTTCAAAACGACCTTGACAGATTAGAGAACTGGGCCAAAACAAACAAGATGAATTTTAACAGGGAGAAATGTAAAGTATTGCACTTGGGCAAAAAAATGAGAGGCACAAATACAAGATGGGTGACACCTGGCTTGAGAGCAGTACATGTGAAAAGGATCTAGGAGTCTTGGTTGACCACAAACTTGACCTGAGCCAACAGTGTGACGCGGCAGCTAAAAAGCCAATGCAATTCTGGGCTGCATCAATAGGAGTATAGCATCTAGATCAAGGGAAGTAATAGTGCCACTGTATTCTGCTCTGGTCAGACCTCACCTGGAGTACTGTGTCCAGTTCTGGGCACCACAGTTCAAGAAGGACACTGACAAACTGGAACGTGTCCAGAGGAGGGCAACCAAAATGGTCAAAGGCCTGGAAACGATGCCTTATGAGAAACGGCTAAGGGAGCTGGGCATGTTTAGTCTGGAGAAGAGGAGGTTAAGGGGTGATATGAAAGCCATGTTCAAATATATAAAAGGATGTCACATAGAGGAGGGAGAAAGGCTGTTTTCTGCTGCTCCAGAGAAGCGGACACGGAGCAATGGATCCAAACTACAAGAAAGAAGATTCCACCTAAACATTAGGAAGAACTTCCTGACAGTAAGAGCTGTTCGACAGTGGAATTTGCTGCCAAGGAGTGTGGTGGAGTCTCCTTCTTTGGAGGTCTTTAAGCAGAGGCTTGACAACCATATGTCAGGAGTGCTCTGATGGTGTTTCCTGCTTGGCAGGGGGTTGGACTCGATGGCCCTTGTGGTCTCTTCCAACTCTATGATTCTATGAAAGGGCCTTCATTACTTTTGTTAGCTGTTTGAATTTGGTGGTGCTTTCAGAGTACAATGTTGACGTCCAAAGACTGCTTACAGGTAGAGAGGACAGTGATTTTCCTTTTCCCACAACCAGGCATTATAGAGGGTCCCTGACTTTCAGGAGCCTAGGTGGGGGAGCATGGAGTTTCATGGGCTTGGCGGGGGGAAGCTTCAGTGGTGTATGTGCAACTCTCTGTGTTGCTCCTTGGGCGACCTCTGTTCTTTAGACTTCAAGAACTATTTTGCATTTGTAAAAAAAACAGCAACATATGAATGCCTCTTTGTCTTTGCGATTTCCACATCACTTTGCTCAAATTCAATGTACAGCATAAGTAGCACCTTGCAATTCAGTTTATTTCTCCCTTATTTTACGGACGTACAGTAACATCCAATTGTTGAACAACAATTGTGGATACAGATAAAGGAGTTATGAATCTTAAAGGGCTTGAGAAGAATAGGTTATTATCTTAAGCCATTTATGGTTTATCATTATCATAATAATAGCTCAAAGGATGCTTTGCATGAATGCCAATTCCCCAGCAATTTGCTCAGTATAATAAGGCATAGAAATATTCTTTGGCATAAGGTTCCTAGCACTGGTGCAGGGGGACAAATGTCCCTGATATTAGGATTCTGAGTCGGTATGGGTGCTTTTCGATTTCATCATGAAGCATTGCACTGCATAACTGAGATGAGGACCAGTCTTCCTCCTGTTCACTTTCGTGGCATCCCACGGGCGCTCAATTCCTCTGCAAGTGTGGCTGTGTACACATTATCGGCTTAAAATGCAGCAAGGTCATTTCCGCCCACTGTGTTTCAAATTGCATTTGCATGTCATTGTAGGTCTGATCAAACACATCAAGATTGGGTGTGTTTCCAAGTCACCTGCTGTCTCTCCATACCAGTGGGCAGGGAAGGGGGCGCAGATGTCTCCATAAGGCTTATTAAATTGAAGCTGGGGTGTTTGGGAGGTGGGGGGAATTCATCAAAATTCAGCATTTCTCAAATTGCAAGGCGGATGTAGATTGTAACTAAAGTTGTCTTGTCATTGGCATCCATCTGTCTCAAGAGACAATGGAGTGCACCTCTGGGGGTGAAGTCTCCTAGAAGCTGCCAGCATGTAGACTGCCAGGAATAGACAAGTTCTTACCAATGTCTTTTATTGAAGCCTCTTAGAGTAATGGGGTTGCTCTGAGTAATCTCCAGGCACCCCCCCTTCTCTCCTCAGTTGTCAACAGCCCCACCCACCTTATGGTGGCTGCTTAGGGCCATTTGTCTTCGAGCTCTTTGCTCTCCTACTTCCAATGCTCACCAGGTTCTGGGGGAAGGGGTGTCTGGAATGCTTTCTAGTGATGACGTGTCTCCCATTATCTCCCAACTTTGCCCCTCATCTGCCTCTGAGCTGTGACCTCCCGCAAACCACTGTTGTAAATCTATACTGTCTTCCTCTTCTCTGCAAGGTTCAGGCTGGGGAGGAGGAGGTCTCCACCATTCCTCCTCTGTCCAGTCCCTGGCAGCATGTGACAGTGTCCACACCCCAGAAACAGCTTCGAATGGCCAACTAAATGTTGTGTGTACTTGTTGGATCTCCCTATCCCGTGTTTGCCCACTTGAGTGCTCCGATCTGCAGAACTGGTACTGCTACAGGTGCTGGATAATACCCCGCAGTTGTGAGAAGTGGATCTTTTAGAGGAGCAGCACCTGTATTTTTGGAACTCCCTATCTATTTACAGCAAGGAGTCTCTCTTCTTGGCACCTGCTTAAATCATTTTTGTTTAGGCAAGCTTATCAGGACATGTGGGCATTGATGAGATATTATCTTTGTTATTGTTAATAAAAATTATTTTTAAATACTTAATTGTTTTGAACTGTTTTAAATGATAATTTTAATATTGCTTGTAAACTGCTTAAGGGTTTTATTACAACCAAGTAGTTTTTGGTTAAATAAATGGAACAAATAATCATCGCCTTCCCAATCTAGCAGTGGGAGTTTAAGGCATACCATGTAAACATGCGTTTGCGCACAGCCTCTCTCTGTATAAAAGATCTAAGAATCATGTTTCATTATATTTTAAAGGCAAGTGTCCTGCTCTTGTGAATAGAAATATCCATTTTGAGGTATACAGAAGATGCCCTTTATACCTCAGAAACCAAAGCAAGGGTTGATAAATTATTGGTCCTCCAATACTAGGGTTTCCATGCTATCATGGCAACTTATATAAGGGAGAAACAGATAAACAAAGTGTACCTTTGCGCCAGCACAAAATAAACAGACCTAGGTAAATGTGCATCATAATTGATATATGATTCAGAATCCAGCCCTGATTTGCATAGGGAATGTGGGCTACCTCCCTCCCTTTTTTAAACATGAAGTTAAAGTAGGAAACACACCATTATGTATTCTTATGGAGTTCCCATGTTGGCTAATTAGAAGGGGTTAGCATAAGACCGATTCTAATACAACTTTCCTTTTCCTTCTAGGTTGATAACGTCCCACCTGACACCATCATCAACTACATGGTGCAGAACTCCAAAGGAAAAGCTCCTGCTTTAACCCATTCACCAGCAGCCCATTCAAAATATACCGAGAACATCCCAGTGAGAACCTTCAGCCAACCACAGAGAGATAAATTCCCACTAAAGCCAGATGACGGATTTGACAGAAAGGCTCTGTTGGCGGCATTAAATGCATATATCTCTCAGAAAGTTGCGGCAAAAAATCTTGATGGAAGTGCTCCTGCTAGCAGGACTAAAGTGTCTCCTCCCTATACCAGTCGGCTCAAGCTTCCTCAAGCTGACCATCTTGATGGGACAATGTTGAAAGAGAAACCAGGAGATATTGAGATGAGGCCACCATTCATAAGGAGGCCTGGATCTGGACTGGTGCCTGGTTCTGTCCAGAGCGATACGAAGGCCCCTCTAACTCCAGTAGATGGTAAGGGATCCATTTAATCTTCGTATGAGTGCTCACCTATTGTTCTAGACCAGGCATAGGCAAACTAGGCCCTCCAGATGTTTTGGGACTACAGCTCCCATCATCCCTAGTTAACAGTACCAGTGGTCAAGGATGATGGGAGTTGTAGTCCCAAAACATCTGGAGGGCCAAGTTTGCCTATGCCTGTTCTAGACCAGTAATTTCATCTACCGGGATTCTTTAGAAGTTTATCAAGGGATTTCTCAATGAGAAGGTCAGTCTTGGCATGTCCTCTCTCTACCATTGATTGTCCCATGCAATGCACAGCTGCAGGGGAGGGGAAGCATGTGATTCAGTTCAGACTGCTCAGGCCTGAACAGTACACCTTTTATAAGCAATAAATCACTCCCCATAATCCTCTGCAATGCACACAAGTTCTGTGAGAGTTGTGCAGAGAAGTCAATGTGAAATTACCTGAAAATAAAAATAAAAATTGAAATACATTGTTGTAGTCAAAGGAAGAATAGTCTGAAGTTATTAAGATACCTGCAAGCTTTTGAGCAGCAGTGCATCTAGGTAATTTTAGGACCAGCCTTACATTCCTCCTCTTTAAGTGTAACATTATTACTTTATAATTGTGAAGTATGCAGTATGAATTTTGAGTATCATCATCACAAGATCTGGCTTAGTTTCCTTTTTGCAGCTGAATTTGGGGAATAGCCCCACTTTTGTCATTAAGGAAATACCTGCAGAATATGCCACCACCACCACCTATTCAGTATACCGCAAGCAAAAAAGGGGGGCTGCCTCCTACCCCCACTATTCCACATGGTGTAGCGCTTAAAGTTCCAGACTAGGAGACCCAAGATAAAAATGTAATGGGGCATTCAGTAGACTAGAGAGCAATAGGTAAAGGTAAAGGGACCCTTGACCATTAGGTCCAGTCGTGACCGACTCTGGGGTTGCGGCGCTCATCTCGCTTTGCTGGCCGAGGGAGCCGGCATACAGCTTCTGGGTCATGTGGCCAGCAGTACTAAGCCGCTTCTGGTGAACCAGAGCAGCGCACGGAAACACCGTTCACCTTCCTGCCAGAGCGGTACCTATTTATCTACTTGCACTTTGATGTGCTTTCGAACTGCTAGGTTGGCAGGAGCAGGGACCGAGCAACGGGAGCTCACCCCGTCACGGGGATTCAAACTGCCGACCTTCTGATCGGCAAGTCCTAGGCTCTGTGGTTTAACCCACAGCGCCACCCACGTCCCTCTAGAGAGAGCAATGCACACACACAAATCCAGGAAAGCAGGCACCCCCTGCTGCCCTCTCCATGATTTGACTGCTACATTCCACTCCTGTTACACTACAGCAAAACAGGCACAGTTTTCCAACCTTGATAAACAGGGTTTGTTGCTGATGCTGGAGAGATTGAGCAGGAGCTGCAGAAGTGCAACCAACTCTTCGGGCAGCACATAGTTAAACAATGGTACCTGGTCTCATTAGGAGGCTATGATGGCTCCCAACTTGGGTGGTTTTAAAAGATGACTGGACAAATTCAGGGAGGGTAAGGCTGGCAATGGCTGTTAGCTATGATGACTATTCTCTTACCCCTCATGGCCAGAACCAGTAATGCTTCTGAATACCAGTTGCTGGAAACCACAGTGGGGGAGATTCCTACAGGCACCTGGTTGACCACTGTGAGAACAAGATGTTGGTCTAGATGGGCCATTGGCCTGATCCAGCAGGCTCTTTTATGTTCTTATTTCTCTTAAGTTAACTCCTATGGGGAGCTGGCTCACCTCCCTGTGGCTTTGTGATGTTCTCTGCATGTGAAGAGTTGCAGACAGGCACGATGAAGACACAGCAGCAATAAACAGAGCAGGGAGGACTATGTGTAGTGCTAGCAGCTGCCCAAGTGGCTGCTTCCTCCTGCTGCTCCTCAGCTGCAACAGGCCAGTGCTCATGCGCAGCTCAGCAGCTGTGGCTGCAAGTTATGATTTGAAGCAGCTGGTGGTAGGAGTGTTGCAGGCACTCATCATTTGCTGCTGGGTGGGCAAAACAAAAGGTTTGTTGTGTGACAACGGCCAATGGGAGCGCTAGGAGGTGAAAGCAGGGACCCCACTATGCTAAGGGTTGGGTGGGGGCCTTAGAATTGGGACCACGTGTTTGTAGGTAGCAGTGCCTTTGCTCTTGTGAATTTAATTTGGCAGAGTCTGCAACATCACAATAGGTACCGTATTTTTCGCTCCATAAGACGTACTTTTTTCCTCCTAAAAAGTAAGGGGGAAAGTGTGTGCGTCTTACGGAGCGAATGCAGGCTATGCAGCTATCACTGAAGCCAGCACAGCAAGAGGGAGAGCTGTGCAGCGCCTCTTGTTGTGCTGCCTTCCCAGTGAAGCAGGAGGAGGGACAGAAGTGAGCCCTTATGGAGCCGCTTCCGTCCCTCATCCTTCTTCGCTGGGAAGGCAGCACAACAGCCTCAGAGATAGCTGCGCAGCTTGCTCTGGCTTTTCAGGGAGGTGGGAGAAGGGATGGAGGGCAACCCATCAGTCCCTTCTCCCACCTCCCGGAAAAGCCAGCAAGAGCCGCTCTATCTTTAAAGAGCCGCGCCAAGTGAGTGTGTCTGCGGCTCTTGCTGGCTTTTCTTGTTTTCCTCCTCTAAAAACTAGGTGCCTCTTATGGTTGGGTGCATCTTACAGAGCAAAAAATACGATGTAATCATTGTCAGCCCTTCTGGGGAGGTATATGCAGTGTTAGGTGGAGTTTTCTATTAATGGAAGGTAGGTAATGTTGGTGTGTAGAACAACCTTTGCCAACCTGGTTCTCTCTAGATGTTTTGGATGACAGCTCCCAGCATTGTTAATCATTGGCCAGGATCCTCCCTTCGTAGAAACCTGAAGCATTATACATACCGTGCTTTACATATTGTTTCTCACCGTCTTCTCCTTCGTGTTTTTCTTTTGCTCCCAAATCCCTATATCACTATTGAAGTGTTGCTATTTAGACAGAAGAGAGCCCAGTGTGTACATGCCCGAAGTGACAGGGTTCATAGTGAGGCAGCTGCCTGATAATAGGTTTCAAAAAACAAATTTTAATGTAAATGCAAGTCCAGGTGGCCCTGCACGTATCTGGACTAGGACTGCTGCTAGAGCAAACTAGGTCCATGCTGATTTCATTATCATGCACTGCCCTATTTCACCTTTCTTAGCAGGAATCTGCAGAGAAGAAATACTTAAAACTTACAGGGAACAATATGCTGCAAAATGCATTGGATTTTAACAGTTTGGCTTCTGCAGGCAAAACATTACAGAGCAACATGTTTAGGTACAATGTTGACCATTTAAGAAAGGTATTCCCACCCTCCAAATAGTTTCTTTCTCTTTAATATCTGTTCACAAATCAAGTGTTTTCTTAGCTTGTTGCCAGCAGTCAAACATTTTCTAATGAATCTTCCAATATACTTATGCCATATTTTTCAAATTGTGCCTGTGATTGCTCTTGGCTTCTATCTTCAGTGGTTGTCGGGCAGTAGCAATGCTTCGTATTCTCGGCTTAGTTTTCCTTAAGATGTCAGTCTCCTCTAACAAGAAGCTTATCTTCAGGAGGTATTCCTAGCATCCTAGTGACTGCCCAGTGTGAGAAACAACACACTTCACAGAATGCAGACCATTTCTCTATCTTTGCTTTATTTAATAAACCAGAAAGATCTGCCAAATGTCTTTCAGTGGACTCTGGAGTGGGGCTGCTGGCCATTCATTTTCTCCTGTTGAATTTCTTTCCCCCTTATTTTCATTTTGCTTGAGATTACGACTGTGCTTTCCTATAGACTGTGAAACCTAGGGAAGGGAACTGGGGAGATAAGACATGATAGAATGAAAGAAAAGAAAATGAGTTGAAAACAAATGAAACTGAAATGGAAAGGTTTTATCAACAGGTTTTTTTTATTCAGCAGTCTAGGTTTTCGCTGGATTGAACCCAATTGCAGGGAGGGAGGGGAAAGCCCACCAGACAGCAATATTAAACTTACATGGTGCTTTATACTGAGCTCATAATTGACCTGTTCAATTGTACGCTATAGGCGTTTAAAATAGGCTATGTAAATATCTAAGGATCTCAGACTGGGATCTCTGGTCCTCAGGACATAATCTCTGTGCCATTGTGGTAGCTTCTCATTGGAGGGAGCACCTGGTAGTAGTAGGAGGAGGAAGAAGAAGAAGAAGAAGAAGAAGAAGAAGAAGAAGAGGAAGAATTCCCCAGCCATCTAGCTGGGTTTCCCCAGCTACTCTGGGCGGCTTCCAGCACATATATACAGGACTGCCTTCAGATGTCTTCTAAAAGTTGTGTAGTTCTGCTTGACATTCTGATGGGAGGGTGTTCCATGGGGAGGGCGCCAGTGCCAAGAAGGGCCTCTGTCTGGTTCCCTGTAACTTTGCTTCTTGCAGTGAAGGAACCACCAGAAGACCCTTGGAGGTGGACCTCAGTATCCAGGCACTGGATGGGGGGTGGAGATGCTCCTTCAGGTATGCTCTCTGCTCTGCTTAAACACCACCACTGCCAATGGCCAGATGGTGGCATTTCAGCTACCAGCTCCATAAAGGCAAGATTATCCTAATACTCCTTCTAATTCTAGGATTAGAAGATCTTCAGTCTGAGCAACCTGTCACTCAGGTACAGACTGAGCTGCTCTCCAGCCATCCATTCCCACTTATCTGCTGGCTGCTTTGATGGCCTGTCTACTTGACTGCTCTCCTGTCTGTTTCCCAACTTGCCTACTGACCTGCAATCTGCTTACCTCCAGACCTTAATGCATAGAACAGACAAATCCTTGTTGGCCACTATGAGAACAGGATGCTGGACTAGACGGGTCTTTGGCCTGATCCAGCAGGTGTTTCTTATGTCTGATCAGAATCAAGTACAGTGGTGCCTCGCAAGACGAAATTAATCCGTTCCGCGAGTGTCTTCGTCTAGCGGTTTTTTCGTCTTGCGAAGCAACCCTATTAGCGGCTTAACGGATTAGCGCTATTAGCGGTTTAGCGGCTATTAAAGGCTTATCGGATTAGCGGATTAGCTGCTAAAAGGCTATTAAAGGCTTAGCAGCTTAGATAAAGGGGGGGAAAGCGGGAAAAAAATCTCAAGACTCGCAAGACATTTTCGTCTTGCGAAGCAAGCCCATAGGGAAATTCGTCCTGCGAAGCAACTCAAAAACGGAAAACCCTTTCGTCTAGCGGGTTTTCCGTCTTGCGAGGCATTCGTCTTGCGGGGCACCACTATATACACTTCTAGAGTTAATGCTAAATACATTACTTCTGGTAAATGAGCCATCATAGCTGCTACAGGGCCATGAGAATTTGTGTCCTGGGCGTTTTAGACTCATCTACCCATATACTATCTAAAACCAAAGGGGTCCATCGGTTGCCAGATGTGAAATATATTGGCATTATTTTCAGCTCACCTGCCCCACTATGCCATTACAGATGTACCGTGGCGTTTCTTTTTAAAAAATATTTCATTTTCATTTTTTAACAATGTTCTTATACATTTAAATCATTTTCAGTTTTTGCACATCTGAGATTACTTTAATCCCCGGACTTCCCCCCACCGTCCCCTGGTTTCCAATATTTATCTGTTGTTTCTGTTGCATCTAATTACATTTTTCAAATTCATTTTGTATCCTTTTTTAACTTTAGTCTTATTACATTATAAGTGTTATAACAATCCTGCCAACTTTTTAAATATCTACAGTGAGCTTTACTGTACTCTATACATTTTTCTCACTCTTTACTACAAAAATTATAATCTTGGTGTCTGCTCTTCGTGGTCATCTTTGCCATTTCGGCATAGTCCATCATCTTGGTTATCCAATCTTCATTGGTTGGGACTTTCTCTTCCTTCCACTTCTGGGCAAAAAGCATTCGTCCACCATGGGGTTTCTCATGGCACAACGCACTTGGTTTTTCAACAGAGTTTACCCCAGACTTGCAAATAGCAGCTCACCCAAGTCAAGTAAAGAAAAGGTTGCTTCTGACCAGTGACAGACGTTTTGCAAAATACAGTTCTTTCTACCTGCCTCACAGCGTTTAGGCCACAGATGTCTAAAGTAGATAAGTTTAGGCTTGTGGGTCATTAGTGTCTGTGATTATATTTGCAAGCTTGATTGCACCATGGGGTGCTTTTATATAGAAGTATGTAATTATGGCTGTTAATGTAAATGTTTCATTCATTTAAATGTTATCCCACCATGTCTCAAATGAATAGGGCTCATTATAGTAATTTTTTTAAAGCATTTAAAATATATATATATATATATATAAAAGTGGCACAAATCACCCAAAGTAACAAAAAGATAAACAACTCATTCTGGGTTTGTCTACCAGGAATATATTATTATTATTATTATTATTAACATTTATAAGTGCCTACAATGTTTATGGGTGCTGTGCATATTTTACAAGATAAGGCAGTCCTTCCCTGCAGGATCAGTCCCTCCAAGTGTCCCTATTTTCCAGGGACAGTCCCAGATTTACAGAAGCTGTCCCAGTTTCTGATTTGATCCCAGAATGTCCAGCTTTTCCTTAGGCTGTCCCTATTTTAATGTAATGTTGGAAGCTATGGTAGGATGTCCCTATTTTCATTGGAGAAGTCCAGTTGCAGACGACTCTGAGGTTGCGGCGCTCATCTCGCTTTATAGGCCGAGGGAGCCGGCATTTGTCCGCAGACACTTTTCCCGGGTCATGTGGCCAGCATGACTTAGCCGCTTCTGGCGAACCAGAGCAGCGCATGGAAACACCATTTACCTTCCTGCCAGAGCGGTACCTATTTATCTACTTGCACTGTGTGCTTTCGAACTGCTAGGTTGGCAGGAGCAGGGACCGAGCAACGGCAGCTCACCCCATCGTGGGGATTCAAACCGCCGACCTTCTGATTGGCAAGCCCAAGAGGCTCAGTGGTTAAGACCACAGCGCTACCCGTGTCCCATATTATGGAATAGGACATCCCTATTTGCATTGGAGAAATGTTGGAGGATATGGAGATGATGCAAAAGAGTGAAAAAAGAATGGGGAGGGAAGAGGAAAGCGAGAATTGGGGCAGCTGCACCTTAACTGGCTGACAGATGGGACTAGGTTGGTCTCCTCCTTGCCGTTATATTTTTCTCGGGAGGTAGGAGGTGCAGCCTTTGAAATGGCTCAAGATCACGTGGATGGTGGCAGAAGCCAGTGTGTGCCTTCTTTGGCTTAGTTGCCACCCCCCCCCAACTTGTGGGTTTGATGAAGGGGTTGTGAGGCAGTGTACGTATTCTGGGTAGAAAAGGAAGATGGGCCTAAGTCCCTTGAATTATATAAGGAGCACTATGAATCCCAGAAATGAATTCAGCTCTCTTATGTTCAGCTATTTATTTATTTCCTAATATTTTTATAAGGGACACGGGTGGTGCTGTGGGTTAAACCACAGAGCTTGGGACTTGTCGATCAGAAGGTCGGCGGTTCGAATCCCTGCGACGGGGTGAGCTCACGTTGCTCCGTCCCTGCTCCTGCCAACCTAGGAGTTCAAAAGCACGTCAAAGTGCAAGTAGATAAATAGGTATCACTCTGGCGGGAAGGTAAACGGCATTTCCGTGCGCTGCTCTGGTTCGCAAGAAACGGCTTAGTCCTGCTGGCCACATGACCCGGAAGCTGTACGCCGGTTCCCTCGGCCAATAAAGCAAGATGAGCGCCGCAACCCCAGAGTCGGCCACGACTGGACCTAATGGTCAGGGGTCCCTTTACCTTTTTTAATATTTATATACTGCTTGATTGTAATCCCCCCCAAAGAAACCTCCAAGTGGTTTACAAACAGAATAAACCAATGAAAAACAACAATTTTAAAGATTTTTTTTGTAAGTTCAAAAGTGGAAGTGGATATGTTTTTTAAAATAATTTGTGTGCGGTGTTCTCATTTCACAAAAGAGGAGGGGAGGGGAGATAGTGACCACCCCAAGCTCATGCAGACTTATTTACGTAACAAGAAACAATGGGTTACTTTTCATTCTGGACTGGGTAAAAATGCTCTCAGTCTATTACCTATATTTTGGCACTGTTGGCTATCTCTTTTCAGATTCCTCCGCTTACTTTTGTTTACTTTATGTATTTTTCATTTCCAATATCTTTTAATATTTTCTCCTTTGAAAACATCTGTTAATAACACATTCAGAAGTCTGTTGTTTGATTTTCTTTGTAGAAATCTCTGCTTTTTCTCATCTTGCCTCAGATGTCATCTTCCATTTATGTTCTTTGGGGGTCATTGATAAACTCATTTCCTTTACTCTGTCCACATCTGACATACATCAGAACAAAACACAGCTAAAACTCTCATTTGAACAGACAGAAGATCCAATATAATTCAGAAAACATTTATTTACATTTTGTATTGTAGCATAAACAAATGAGATCAGGGTGCTTGTGTTAAAAGACAAGCCACTGACATATTTATTTCCTGATATTGATGAAGATTAGGTCATAAAAATATAAATTATTATTATAAATGTAAATTAGCTTGGATATATCATTAGATATTAAATTATATTTCAGCAACAAAAAATAGCTGTCCTTTCCAGCTAAGCAGGAGCCTGCATATACAAGATAGGTCAGCCCCACCAAGCAGTTGGCTATCTGGTAGTGAGTAGCTGGGTTAATGCTGAATGGTTGTTTAGCAAGTACCACAGTGAGCAGCACCTGGCTCCAAATATAATCGGGGCAAGCATGTTGGTGGCTGAAAACTGTAGCGCTTAAACTGAAATTATAGGAAGATTTGTCAGGGCTGGGAGTCAGGCGTAGGTCGCCAACAAAGCAATAATGCACCCGAGGTCAGTGAAGTTAACTCTTTATTCAGGGAAACAAACCACAACTCAGCCTAGTGGTTTCCAGGAGATCTTACCACGATGAAGCAGTTGCCAGTGGCATAGCGTGGGGGGTGCAGGGGGGGCCGGCCGCACCGGGCGCAACATCTGGGGGGGGGGCGCGCTCGCACTCGCAGCTCTCTGCCCCTACCTGGCTCACTCACTCTCTCTCACTGCAGTGCTGGCTGTGAGAATCCGATCCGAGCCTCTGGGTCACCGCCCACTGTGGAGGGGGTGGGTGCCAGGCGTGCGGTGCGGAGAGAGAGCGAGGGACTATCTGGGGGAGGGACAGTGCAGCGGCCGCCCAGCGCAGCGCTGAGCGCGGGAGAGAACCACACCAGACCAGCCCAGGCAGCAGCAAGAAGCTGGCAGTGGCGGCAGGTTAGGGGTTAGGGGGCGCAAATTACTTGCCTTGCCCTGGGTTAGGGGGCGCAAATTACTTGCCTTGCCCCGGGTGCTGACAACCCACGCTACGCCGCTGGCAGTTGCAGTAGGACTCCTCCTTTCCAGGGTCTTTCCCACACAGTCTCAGGCTTCATTTGTGCACAACAACCCTCTACTCTTCCCGTTTCATTTCTCTGTGTGTTCTAGGAGACCAGAAGGGAGGGGAGCTGGTCACAGCAGGATAGCGAGACTCCCTGGATTCTGCTCAGAGTCTGAAGTGTGCTCTGCTGCAGCTTCTTCCTGATCACTAAACCCTGTTACCTCTTCTGCTTCTGTCACCTCCTCCTCCTCCCTGTCTGCTCCTTCCCCCTCTGATGACTCATCATTGTCCCACCACCAACCCACTGGCTCTGAGCCTTCTTCCCCTGGGGATTCCTTGGCTGGTGCCTCCCACACTCCTCCACATCCAGCCAGTCCATGACAGTTTTAAAACATGGCAATCTCCTCTGAGCTGCTCCTTGTGATGCTCCTTGTCTCTTCAAGTTGGGAACTTCTGAGTGGAGAGTTTTAAGGCAATTTTGTCGGCTGGTGCACATTGCATTTTGATTGGTTCATTGTAGATATTTGAACCACCTGTCATGTTTGGAGACTGTAGGAAGCTCCATCTGGGAATTTGTGTCAGGTAGAATGATAAGATGTGGGATTCCAATGAGAGCCCTCTGTTTCATGGCCAGTATTGGATAAGGCTTCACAGGGATGGGCCATGAAACTCTTGAGATCTCCCCACTGCCTCCCCCACCCTCCAGTTAAGCCCTTTATATGACTGGGTAAGTCAAATTGATATTGCTGCATCATAATTCAATGGTGGTGATTTATTCACAGTCTCTGCTTCTTTTGGGGACACCTAGTAGAAAAATAGCTTTGGTCCTTTTATTTTTTCAGCAGACTGCATGTTTCTTATATGTAATTATATTGATGTTCCCTCTATTTTTACTTTACAAAAACTACATTATGGTTGACTGAGTGTAATCATAATTTATTTCTATAGTTAAGCAGCTTTAGTACAGCATAAGTTGATTTTGTTAGGAAGTCTTGATATAGGGTTTGTAATGGGGAGGGGAGGGAGAGACCACTAATGTGATAAAATAAATACTTTTTTTGTCCTCGGGATACAGGCCTTCCTGGATAAGCCATATTGGTCTGGGAAAAGTTTCGCCACTAATTTATCCCAAATCAATTGTTTCAGTAGGGCAAGACATGTCCAGTGAGAAAAGTGATCTAATTACTGATTCATATAAGAAGATAATCCCATGAATTAGTAACATTGAAACTATTCAATAAACACATTTGAATAAGAGGAGAGAGAGAGAAAAACATTACCAAGGCTATATTTATGAATACAGATTAGCACAGAATAATGTAGTCGAGACTTCATAGATAATTAAATAGCTCCTACTGAGGACTGGAGCAGAGACTACAATGCTTTGTTTCTCTTTTCCTTGCACATACCATCAGACTTTTCATAAGTAATCAAGTTTCTCCTCCCTCCCTCCCTCCCTTCCCAAGAAATATTTATTCAGGATGTTCTGAGGGACCTGAAGAAACATCACGTGGATGTAGATAAGTTGAGCCCGCTAGAGCTGGACGAGATGGCAGATATCATTGCTGATGCCATTCAAGCTGTTGATGTAGATGAAGAAAAGAAGAATGCCGCTGGGAAGGTTGGAGGAGAGGCAGAAGAGAAGAGAGTGGATGCCGAAGGAAAAGATGATTATGAGATGGGATTAATGAGCGCCGGTTACCCTTTACAAGGTACAATATCCACCATGGCAGCTTTCCTTTCCTTTCTAAAGGAATTCAGTCTTAAAACAGCCTTGCACAAAGATGCCAAGAGGAGGAACTTACCTGCTCACTTGTCCCACTGCCGGCTCACTGCCCTATTCTCCCTGCTGCTTGCTAGCTCCCCTCCACTTATCATCGCCTTACCATTAGCTTCCCAGACCAAGATATTTTGCTGCCTGAGGTGAAGACAAGATGGTTCCTCCCTGGCACATTCCACATACTGAAGTCAAACAGCCTGGCTGCCAAATCTTACTTCAGCACTAGTGACATGACAGCAGCCAACACCACAGCAAGCTAGTTTATGGGATGGGGACAGGTTGTGTAACCCACAATTCTGCCCTCCAACAGATGAGAGTGGTCCCGGGAGCAGGGGGTTAGGAGGAACACCCAGGGGGCTTCCACTGCTGCCCCACAGCATCTGTTCCCTGAGGAGGTTATGCCACTTTGCCCAATAGTAGGGCCGTTCGTGTAGCTTCCCTTTCCTCCTGCCATGATTATATTGTGTTCAGAGGGTGGGATGAGTGCTATTTACTCAATCCCAACTTGCTGTGGGCAATTAGGTGAGTGCAGGTTGCTCCATGATTTAAAGGAGGAGATAGCTGTTTGGGGAATGTAATTCCCACACATCTACCTCCCCATTAAAATTGCAAACTGCTGTCTCTATGCAGCTATTATCAATATGAGGGCAGTAAACATTCTTGGATTGGGAGTACTGTGGGGGTAGGTTAAAGCCTGCTCCCCAGTGTTTCCTATTTACACAATATTACTGTTGCTATTAGCAGTGTGGGAACAGTACACTCTTCCTGGACACCCAGCTGATGGCTGATTGTAGGAAAAGGGGACTGGGGCTTCCTGGGCTTTGGAGTCATGTGTGTTGCCCACCCTTGTCCTAAGGAACAAACTGATGCAATTAACTCATTCCGCCACTGCCACCTTAAGATACAGCTGCATTTTCATGATGCTTAATTGTTCACTTGGTTAACTGATAGCACTGTTGTAAACAATTTAGATGCACCTCGTGAACAGGGCCGCATTTAGGTTTGATGAGGCCCTAAGCTACTGAAGGTAATGGGGCCCTTTATATGTCCATCTGTCCTTTGTCAACAACAAATTGCCACTGTTTTTTGTGTTGACTATATGCTATATGGTAATTTATGGACCCAATAGGTATCTAAAGCCATTTGCACATAACAAAATATGTATTTTATCAAAGTAATTGTTGATATGAAATAGAATTAAGAAGAAGTATATTTGGGGGGGGGGCAAGAGAGTGGGGCCCTAAGCTATAGCTTGTTTAGCTTATATGTAAATCCAGCATTGCTCATGAATCAGGCACTGCATTTAAGTGACCTGCTAAAATAATTAGCCATCAGTATCTATTGCAGGAGTTTGAACTAAATTACCCTCATGGTACCTTCCAACTCTACGGTTCTATGATTCTATGACCCATTCAGGAAAAGTAGGGCAGACATGGTACTAATTTGTTTTGGAGAACTCATAGTTTTGAGGCCTGATTAAAAAAAATGTACCATCCAGTAAGAGTGGCCTGTGTGTTCCCAAATTCAGTTTCCTCGTCCCACTCTCACACAGGTAATTAGTCCTCTTATTAAGCCTTTACAGCACCTCGTGTTCATTGATCAAATAGGTGCATGCAGATGCATGTGACAGGAAACATGTAAGCAGCACATTGATTTACATGTGGACCATTTAAAAGTGTCCGAGTTTATTGCTGTGGATAAAAATGAGATGTGAACAGCTCCATTGTTAGGTCATTTTGTGACTCATGTGAAAGATGCACAAAAATCTGTTTTTCATGCTTATAAGCCTCACAAAGGCTTCCTGTTCCTATCCTAAAACAGGCAATTTGGTATCCCGTATTTACCTCTGAGTAGTCACAATAACCGAGAAACCATTATTTTGAAGTGCCTACTTTATTAAAATAAAGGATTAGATGAGCACATGAAATCCATTTTTCCCTGAAAAGTGCCTGAAACGTAAATTTGTTGCCTTTCTGCATTTATTACTGTAGCCATTATTTCTATGCTAGCAGAAAACATGGTATTGATTTTTTTTTTTAAGGCATTGGTAAACAGAGGTAAATTCGTCGCCATACTATTGAACTAATTAATATAATGCACTCTTACAGTCCTGCTTCCATTGATCTTCCATTAGCAAGCTGTCCAAATGGAGTCAAAGTGACAAACCTGATCTATGCTTTTACTTTCGCCTTTCAGCGGCAACATCTTAATGTTTAATGTACAGTAAATAACACCACAATCTATAGAAAAGCAAAGCCAGTACAGCAGTGTCTGCATTACACACGTAATGTTCTATAATGTCCCACAACACATGCTTGTTCAATGTTCCCACAGATGAAGGGGCACAGAATGAAGATGCCAGGACTAAAAATGAGGTAAATTGCATGTTTAAATATAAATATCGACAATCCATCGCACCAAATGCTCGCCATACGAGAGATGCTAAATATAATGTAATAAAAATAATTGAGGTTCAGTTTACAACACAGTGACAACAATGGAACACAGACGGAGGTGCACTTGAAACCATCAGTGGATTTCAGACAGTGGGAGTGGGGGCGTTAGCAGCAGCTAGCAGGGGGAAATTTCTGTTTTGTCACTCGCCAGTATTGCTCCTTCACCCCCCCCAATCAGTGAATGCCACCCCCCTCCAATTCACCACCTGTGAATGCACCAGCAAAATTCAGAGTAGCATTTTCATTCACCTCTAAAAACCCATATGAGATACGTGTGCTATAGATGCCTCAGCTAATTTGCCAGTTTGTTCCTTTATTAAATTTATATGCTGCCCATGGTGGCAAAAACATAAGGCATGGAAATGCCGTTTACCTTCCTGTCACAGCGGTACCTATTTATCTACTTGCACTGGTGTGCTTTCGAACAGCTAGGTTGGCAGCACCTGGGACAGAGCAATGGGAGCTCACTCCCGTTGGTGGGGATTCGAACCGCCAATCTTCCGCTCAGGAAGCCCAAGAGCCGCGGTGGTTTAGACCACAGCGCCACCCACGTCCCTATTGTACTGCTCTTAACACCACCTAACAAGGCGCATGGGAATGGAACTTCACAGCAGATTTTAATAGAATTTCAAGTCATGTTTCTAAAACACAAAGCAGAAGAAGAATCCAGAATTTGGTCTTAGACAGTTCCCCCCTCCAAAGAGTTAAGAATTTAGACTAAGTGATGGGGCTGTTTCTACATCTCAAGGCTAGCTGATTTGAAAGACCCAGAATTTGAAATCATAACTTGGTGGAAAGACTTGGTGGCCTCATGCCACTGTCAGCAGGAAGACTTGAACTGAGTCAAACAGGGATGTCTAGGGCTGCTTCGTGTAACATAAGGCTGGGCAAAAAGAAATTAATGATAATGCTTTAGGTTTAGACATACTTCAGTGCTTCCAAAAGAGGAAGCCTCTTGAGATCAGTCAAATTTAAGAAGAGAAAAGCAGTTTCGGGGAAAATACAGGCAACATTTTCTAAGCTGCAATCTAAGAGCTGTCAAAAGTTGCACCCCAGGCTAAAGTGATTTCTAGTTTTCATCTTTCATAAGTGGACAACAGTGTCTACTCATGTATTTAGTATAGCTTCAGGATTCTATTAGTTTTGTGCCCTTAAATTTCACATAGATACCCCATTAATGTGTGTTCAAAATTGTTATGAATGACACTGTTTGTTTTTGTTTTTGTAATACAGGAGAACCATTTGAGTAAAAACCTACTTGATTTCCTGAATGAGGATATCGCAACTGAAAATCTTCTTAGGGAGCCTATGTCCAAAGAATCTTTTAAATCAGAAATGAAGAAGTCGGAGGATTTAGATCTCTCCTCCTCTTCCTCCGAGGAAGTGAAGGTTGGGGTTGAAAATGTGAAGAGCGAAACATTCTCCAGGGAGTTGATAGCTGAAAAGAAAGCTGAGTCGGAACCTAACTCTCAAGAGCTGACTGAGCTTCATCACTGGATTAAGAATACTTTGATTCAGGATAAAACTGTCTATGAAGAAACTAAAAAAAAAATGGGAGAAGGTCTTCAGCTGGATGCCAAGCCTTCTAAGGAGGATGAATATGGATACATTGTGACAGAGAAAGAGTAAGTATAAATTTGTGTGTGTGTGTGTTTGTGTGTGTGCATATATGTGTGTTTAAAATATAGTAAAGGTAAAGGGACCCCTGACCATTAGGTCCAGTTGTGACTGACTCTGGGGTTGTGGCGCTCATCTCGCTTTATTGGCCGAGGAAGCCGGCATACAGCTTCCGGGTCATGTGGCCAGCATGACAAAGCCGCTTCTGGTGAACCAGAGCAGCGCACGGAAATGCCGTTTACCTTCCCGCCAGAGCGGTACCTATTTATCTACTTGCACTTTTGACGTGCTTTCGAACTGCTAGGTTGGCAGGAACAGGGACCGAGCAATGGGAGCTCACCCCCTTGCGGAGATTCAAACCACCGACCTTCTGATCGGCAAGTGCTAGGCTCTGTGGTTTAACCCACAGCGCCACCCGTGTCCCTGTTTAAAATATAGAATGGTTAAAATAGGTTATTTGTGAATACTGAAATATTTATTTAATTTTTCGAATGTATGTGTCCCCAGGTCTGCTAGACACCCAAGCAGCTCACAGTAACATCCAAGAAACCATGTCTGTAGTTCAGAATACTAGAACAGCAAATAATGTAAAACCTGCAGCATCCATTTCAAAGCTAAGAATAAAATTTAAAATGACCTTATCAGTGCGATATCTTTTAAAAGCTTTTTTTTTAAGTCACCCAAATGCTTTTTTGTTAGCTACTATCTCCCTGAACTGCTTTGACAGAAAAGCCAGAGCTTCCACATTTCCTGTGAAAATACATAAAATGAAGGCCATTTATCTACTTCTCACACTGTCCTTTGGTGGCCTTGTGGACTGCAGAGTACATTAGTAGCAGTATTAATGGTTTTACAGATGTGCTCTTTGAATATTAGGCTTCACAGTGCAAAATATGATGAATGTTGTACATTAGGATTCTTGGCCCAATTTTCCTGTGGTAAATATTGGAAGCAGCACTGCTGTTGTAGGCGAGACAAATGCTAAAATCAAATGCGTACTTAGGAGTAAACTCTACTGAACTCATCAAGGCTTTCTTGTTGCCGAACATATCTAGGATTGGGCTGTGTGCATCTCTTCATTTAAGCAGTTGAGCCCTAGTCAGTGTGGTGCTGATATAGTTTATGCTGGGAACATTCTTCTGTTTATAGGCAGATAGGTTGTGGAATTTGAGTTTGCTTATTGTACCTTAGCTTCCAGAAACACTGCCTGAACAATTTAATACATGCTGCTGTGCTCTGTAATGTAAGGCTGCTGGGGGAAAGGGACCCCGGAACAGATAGTTGTCACCAGGATATTTTAAGTAAACCACTGAGCTTGTCCAAGTTTTTCCTCAGTCCTTTAAAAAAGAAAAGAAAAGAAAACTTCTGGGTGTGTTAATAATGCCCTGTTTACCTTCTGAGCAGAAAACCTAGACTCATAGAATTGTAGAGTTGGAAAGGGACCACGTTTCCCTGTAATGCTCAAACCCACAACCCTTAGATTAAGAATACTGTGCTCTACAGACTGAGCTATCCAATCCATGAAGGATTGGAAACATATGGTTTTTTCTAACTATGGTGGAGAGCCAGTACACCTGTGGACCTCCTGATGGTGCTGATCCACAACTCCTATGATTCTGCCCACAGACCATGCTTCGTGAAGTAGATGGGAGCTGAAGTCCAACAACAACTCGAGAGCTGGAGGTTCCCTATTCCTTTGAAAGGGGTGTGCTGAATACACTTAACAGCAACAACTTATATTTATTTAGCTCATTTTTCTGTAGGTTCATATAATGATTGACCCCCTGCTTTTCACCAGAAAGAAATGTGTAGACACCCCTCCATACATTTCAGAGTTGTACACTAAATCATAGAATTTGTAGAGTTGGAAGGGAACCACAAGGGTCATCTCATCCAGCTCCCTACAATGCAGGAATATTTTGCCCAAGGTGGGGTTCGAATCCACAACCTTGAGATTAAGAGTTTCATGCCCCCTGCCAGCTGAGCTATCCCAGCTGCTACTGTATGTTCTAAATCTAAGCACAAAGTAGCCTTAAGTAACGTGGATTTGAAGAGGGCGTGCTTTGACTGGCAAGTAAAATAATGGAGGGAGATGATAACAGAGTAGATTATGGGGCCAAGTGGTCTGTCGTGGTCCAGTTGCTCTTTCTTATATGCGGAAAGGAGCGGTGTGATAGAAAGAAGCAAAGAAGGATGGTGGTAGAGCCTAGAGCACAGGCAGCTGGAAGAGAAGTTGTAAGGTTAAGTTACATTCAATAGTTAGTGTCAGTTTGGAAAAGGACCTTAAGATTAAATAGAGAGTGGAGAGAGAGAGGTTTGCAGCATAGAGGCCCGGAGCAAGCAAAGCTTATTCCTTTATTATCAAGACCAATTCCCCAGCTGAAATTTAGTAGAGGTTTAATTTCTCTGAATTATGGAAATATATGTAACATAGACTCTCTTGACATTTTCATAGTTCAAGGATGTCAGAGCTATGCAGTTGTAAGCAAGTTTTTTTTTCTTTTAAAACGAAAACACAGCTCGCGAGAGATAAAGAAAGCAATAGAACACAACTAAAAATGACACCTGGAGTCCAAAGCTTTTTTTTTATTTTTAATACCGTTTATTCCTATAATCACCTCTTGCTTTATTGAAACTGTACATTGTGGTTGCTGCTTGTCAGAATTTTATTAGCAGAAGTGGTTATAATAAAGGAACAAAATCCTTTCAGCAGAAACGAACCCTCTGTTGGTAAAAGGGGTCTTGCATATTCATGCACAGAGGTTAATAGCTTGGAGTTCTTTTTCACTTTGCGATTTCAGATGTAACTGGGGGCAGGGGGGATTGCACTCAGCAGTATGGTTAGAAAGATGTCAGAGGTGATTCATTCACACTTGGATTCTCAGTGTGTGTGTTTTTGTTGGCTCCAGAGCCTTGATCCAAGGAAACTGCTTCGCTGTACTGCGAAGACCAGGTATTTTAATTGTGTCATAGAGCAGAGTGAAATATTTTCCTCAAAAGTTCCCAAAGAAATGATTTGTGATAGTTTTGAAGATTTGTCAAAATGGCAGCCTGCTTGTCAGTACAGTGGTACCTTGGGTTACAGACGCTTCAGGTTACAGACTCCGCTAACCCAGAAATAGTACCTCGGGTTAAGAACTTTGCTTCAGGATGAGAACAGAAATCGCGCGGTGGCAGTGCAGCAACAGCGGGAAGCCCCATTAGCTAAAGTGGTGTCTCAGGTTAAGAACAGTTTCAGGTTAAGAACGGACCTCCAGAACGAATTAAGTTCTTAACCCGAGGTACCACTGTAGTTAGAACAAATAGGTCACTCCTGCTTTTTGTTGAGTGACCTTTCAGTGACCTGTACTGATCCATAGTAAGCGCTGGTGCTAATCTTAGGGGTGAGTTAACAGTTTCAGTATAGACATTTGTCTGGCAAATCCTCTCAGGTGCTGCTTCAGCATTTTATTTTGGGTAGAAAGTGTTCAAAATGGATAACTTCCCTGTATGCTGGTCCTTCCTGAAGAATTTGACCTCAGTCCATGATATGGATGCCACACCCATCCCCTATAGTAAATCCAAAAGCGTACAAGTTAAATGTGCATAAGTTATTCTTCATAACTTTCCTTCCAGAAGAGCTAGAGACTTTTTTTAAAAAAATAAATAAATGAAAGCTCAGAGCTTGGCACCAGTAAAGGCCCTAATGGGCACTGGGATGGAAATACTCATCCTAATTGACTAGCCTCCACTGACGTGTTGGGGACTGGCTGGCTGGATGATGAGGAGTGGTTGGACGCAGCAGCCGGGGAACCCTCAAGGGAAACCCCAGAAGAAGAAGGCTCAGAGCCCTGGGATTGGTGGTGGAACACTGAGGAGAGGTCAGAGGGAGAAGTGTAGGAAGAGTTGTTGGATGCTGAAGGGGCAACAGGATTTTGTGAGGAGGGAGAGTCTGTGACAGGGAGCATTTCCAACTCAGAGGATGAAGCAGAGGAGTGGGGACAAGAGCCTTCAGAATAATACAGGGAGCCTGCCTCTCCTTGATTCTCTCCAAGAACAAGCAGAGTGATGCATCGAGCAGAACAGATATTAGAGCTGCCCAGACACAGTTTGAGACTGCTTGGGAAACATCTGAGAAAGGAGGAGCCTTAGAGGGAGCTGGAGGCGGAGATCGTCAGTCCTGGCAACTGCTCTATAGGGGCAAGACTTACTGGGAAGTGTTGCTGAGCTGTATGCTGTTTCTTTGAATAACTCCTCTGACAAACTGCTTCTTGCTTGCTGACCCATGTTTGACTCCAGCCCTGACAAGGAGTTAAGGAAAGGAAGAGTGGTAACAACACGACAAACTGAAATATTAAAATTCAACAATGGCAATTCATCGTTTGTAGCCATGTACCAAAGGTATCCTCTCAGTCAGCAATGTATATTAATAACTTGGGGTAGGCAGGCTAATGCCACTCGTACGGCACATATCTGTACTTATTCTAGGGGCATCACTGGCAGAAAGGCCTTGGAAAATAGGGGTAGAAAAGGCAGGGGCATATGAAAGGAGAAGGCAAAAGCTCAATAAAGGAAATGGGTCAAGGAAGTGCAAAGAGAAAGACTGGAGGAAGGTGATACAGGTCAATGAGGGAAAGGGTGAAGACTGGGGTGAGGAAGGAAAGAGAAAATTGATACAGAGGGGAGAAGCACATGATCAGGAGGCTGCAGAAGCAAAGAAGGTTGAAGGTCACACGTTGATTCTACGAAACCTTTGACTACACATCTCTTGTTTTCCAGGAATCAGCAGAGATATCTACTTAGAGCTATATAATATTTTCTGGCTAAATAAATCCTGGCTGTGTTTTACGAGTGGGAAAATAAAGTCACTTAAAAAACCCACACACACAAATCCACACCTATTACAGAGCCAAAGAAGCAGCAACGAAACCTTATATAACCATTGGAGAGGAATTTCATTCTGTAGCATGTAGTAGGAAGAGCTCATATATTTCTGAATTTCTTGGGAAAGGATGGGATTCGCTTCAACCTCAACACTTTGCAGAATCTTTGCAAAGCTTTTGGGGAAATTGGAAGTTATAGACTTACAGGTTCCAATCCCGTAGTGAACCTCCCAAAGCCCAAAAATAATTGATTCAAATTTCCCCACTTTTTGTGTATTTATCTAGCTCATACCCCACCCTTCCAAAGTAGAAGGAGCCATTGGTTATAAAACCATCATAAAAAACCTCACTATCAAAGAGGTTTAAAAATTAATAACATTTACACTCACCAGGTCTATATGCTTTCACCATCTGTTGCATCCGTAGGCATTTAAGAGATTGCAGATGGTCCTGCTTCCTTCCAGTGCTATTCATGCTTTTGTTGCTCCAAAGCACACAACTCTCTACAGCCTTATTTTACTCTTGCCTCTGATCCTCTTCCCATTGTGCTGGGTGACTCCAGATTAAGTTAAAGGAAGCAAATGGTTCCAGGGAGTCTCTTTTTTTTGGCCACCCCCCACCCTGTTCGATTGTGGGTGGTCAACAACCATCCTGTGTGCCCAATGCTTATGAGATTAATTTGGAATAAATTGCTTTGCAGATTGCAGAGCAGTTTTAATCCATAATAGGAAATGGATTACTAAGAACTATATTGTATGTGTTCTAAAAAAAGTAAAAAAGTTTTGTTTGTGGAAGAAATGTTTCCTAATACTTTACTACTGCTCTGCCGTAGCGGCATGTGGTGAACCAGGCATCAAACTATATGATCCCCCAGATACAAGAAGCTGGCAGTTAAAACTCCCTCAATCTTCATTTCTTCCTAGTGGTGATAGCTGTATAACACTGTTTTAAGGATCAGTGCGCATGATTGACCTGAACACTATTCTCCTCTTCTGCTGGTAGTAAATTTCTGCTTGTGTGTATGAGGTTATCCAACTTGTCAGGGGCACCATCTACTGGGGGAGGAGGCCAGGAGCCAAGGGTCCCCCAAATTTTCAAGGGAGTGGCTTGGAGCCCCTCAAAATCCCATGGTGGCTGTGCACACGGCATGTGTGCATGTTGTGTGACAAGGTATGTCACGTGCGCCCACTGTGTGGCATGCGCAAGTGATGTCAGCAAATAAAACGGCATGTGCACACAGTTGGTGCCTGCCCCCTCGATTGTGGAGGCAGGTCAGCGCACTTGCAACTTGTTTTTCACAAGCAGAATCAGCGGTTTTGTGTAAGTTGGTGCTTGAAGAGTTCCCTTTCATTAAGTTTGCAAATTCTACTACCCCTTGATTCCCCTCCCCCTTCTAGCTAAAGAGCACCACCTCCCCACCCTGTATCTTCTTAAGTGTGGCTCACAAAAGGAAAGGGAAATGTCCCTCTTCAACCACCGATTACAGTTTAGCCCACAATAATTTAAGTCGGGATACAAAAATGGCAAACAAATGAGATTTGGCATCAGGGTGGATATTGAGAGCAGATGTCATGATCAGAGTACTTCTGTGTGCTGGAGTATGAAAAGCAATGACAAACCTAGACAGCATCTTAAAAAGCAGAGACATCACCTTGCCAACAAAGGTCTGTGTAGTTAAAGCTATGGTTTTCCCAGTAGGGATGTATAGAAGTGAGAGCTGGACCATAAAGAAGACTGATCGCCAAAGAATTGATGCTTTTGAATTATGGTGCTGGAGGAGACTCTTGAGAGTCCCATGGACTGCAAGAAGATCAAACCTATCCATTCTTAAGGAAATCAGCCCTGAGTGCTCACTGGAAGGACAGATCCTGAAGCTGAGGCTCCAATGCTTTGGCCACCTCATGAGAAGAGAAGACTCCCTGGAAAAGACCCTGATGTTGGGAAAGATGGATGGCACAAGGAGAAGGGGACGACAGAGGACGAGATGGTTGGATAGTGTTCTTGAAGCTACCAGCATGAGTTTGACCAAACTGCGGGAAGCAGTGGAAGACAGGAGTGCCTGGTGTGCTCTGGTCCATGGGGTCATGAAGAGTTGGACACGACTAAACAACAACAAAATGTATGAATGTTTTCCATTTAATATGGAAACGCTGCTGAAGTGTCGTATAACTCACAGGCAAAGGCAAATTCTGATAAGGAAGCACTCTCTTATTGCCTCTGTTGTGGGTGGAGCCAGCATGTATTTGAAATGAGACCCACCCCCCTACTAAAGCCTTATTTGGTGTCACATTTCCATAATAGCCCCTGTGAACAGATCCCTTCTTCACTCCTACATTCCTGTTACCTTTCTCATGATATGTAATTTCCATTGACCTTCATAGTCTGACCACCGAAATTGATTTTTGCAAAGTGTCATCTGCTTTATAAATTGGTCTGGACTTGAATCTGTCTTGAGTTAAAAGGTTTAAATTTCACACCTATTTGCGGTGGGGAAGGAAGAGAAGGAAGGTAGGTGCGCAAAATGTGGCAAGCAGAAATTTGCTGTCTTGTCAAAACAGAAGTAAGCTTATGAATGTTCAGTAGCTAATAAAGCCTTAGAGGAAACAAGGCTGGGGGAAATGGATTGGAGCCAGATGAAGTTAAATTGCAGTGTTCTTAATAATCGTTACCACAGGCTTGTTTGAGCTCTCAGGTAACAGAACTCTGCAGGATCCATTCCTGCCACAACATGGCTACGAAGCACAAATCCTGTTTACACGTGGGTTGCTGCATGCAATAATTCTTCTACATTTTAATTTTAAATGATTCAAGATTTAGTTAGAGTTCAAGTTGCAAGGCTGTATTCTATACAGGCAAAAGGTATCCATTTGTATATGGAGAGATATGGGGCTGTTGTTCAGTGCTAGAAATTGTGTTTTGCATGCAAAAGGTTTCAGGTTCAAATCCCGGGCATTGGGTCCAACCCAATTTGTGTGTGACATATACCAGAAAGAGTAACACAATGCAAGTGGGGAAGGGAAGTCTCACTGTGGTTGGCTGCTCAACTTTACGCTTCATTCTTCCTTTGCAAAGCAAGTATGGCCCAGAGTAGAAAACATTCCAAATTAGCTCTCAACAATGGCTTGTACAGTGGCATTCGCTTGAAGAGAGATCTTACAAAAGCAAATATTGAGTAAGACAAGTCTGCCGATTGCACCTAGGGAAATCCCACTAAGTCTGTTCTCTCCAAGTTGTAAGTTCACTTCTTGGCAAAACATATTGTTGTTTTTGTTTTGGGGAAAGTAAATTTCCACAAAGGGCAAAGTTTTGTTATGACTTACAGACTGGTTCTTAATGATAAGAGAGAGAGAGAGAGAGAGAGAGAGTCATCATGTATGAAAGGCTACTTCTCAGAGCATGAATAAGTGCCCAGCGAGTTACCCCAAGGGTATGTGGAGGATTTAAAATTCCACGTGGATTTAAATACATTGACGGATTAAGAAGCACAATGGCTGATGAATTCCAGGGTAATGGATTGGTAGAAGACAGCTCTTATATTTTGAAAATATAAGGTCTGAGAATAAAAATATAATGTCTGCTCACCCAGACTCTGAGGTTTTGGAGTGTGGAGGAAACGCATGGTTGCCTGATAGGTTGTTTCATTAAATCTTTTGTGTGTGAATGAAAGAGCAGATGCATATGACTCGTATGCTGTTGTTGCTGAGTTTGAGAGTATTTCGGTGCAGCTGTAAAAGTACAGATGGAAATTTCCAAGATCAGTTTGAATTGCTCACATACACATGGATGCTGACGTCTCCCCAAACCAGCAGCCTGGGAGTTCTCAACACCGACTCTTGAGACCAACTCTGTCAGCTCAGGCAGGAAGACTACTGGGCAGCAAGGTGGGCGGTAAACCAAGAGAATCCGTAATCTGTCCCAATTGGCCAATGCCAGGAACACTCACTCTAGATCTCCCACAACTGGACAGAGAGCCTGGAGAGAGAGAGAGAGAGAGAGAGAGAGAATCTCTATACATCTCAGCAACTCCACCTCCCTACCCTGAAGTCTGCCCTGATGCAGCACCGAGTACCCAGGTTGGCACAGCTGGTTGAGACCAACCCACTCTGCTCATCCACCCAGGTCTCAGTGATACAGACCAGACTGGTCTCCTCCTCCACAATCAGATCATGGGTGAGGAAGGTCTTACTATGAGCTGACTTGGCATTCGACAACAACAGCTGCAGACCCGAGGACTGGCTGACCCACAATTCGCCAGGTTGGAGCACGGGTAGGTACATGGCACAGTCACCAACTACCTGTGCCTTGTGCCCCTTACCCAGCGTGCCCACCCGCTACACCATACCTCTCCCTACTCTGAACCACTTTGCTAGCCTACCCTTGCTCTCCCTTGTTGCTCCCCCTCTCTTCCAAGGCACATTCTACACCTTAAAAGAAAGAAAAAATACCCAAATTAAAAAAACCTACAGATTAAAAGCTGTTTAGGCGCTGTGGGTTAAACCACAGAGCCTAGGACTTGCCGATCAGAAGGTCAGCGGTTCTGATCCCTGCGACGGGGTGAGCTCCCGTTGCTCGGTCCCTGCTCCTGCTAACCTAGCAGTTCGAAAGCACAAAGTGCAAGTAGATAAATAGGTACCGCTCCGGCGGGAAAGTAAACGGTGTTTCTGTGCACTGCTCTGGTTCTCCAGAAGCGGCATAGTCATGCTGGCCACATGACCCAGAAGCTGTACGCCGGCTCCCTCGGCCAATAAAGCGAGATGAGCGCCACAATCCCAGAGTCGGCCATGACTGGACCTAATGGTCAGGGGTCCCTTTACCTTTAAACAGTTGGGGCAGTAACACCAATAGCAAGAGCCCCCAACAGGACCCCCTAGACACTGCCACAATAAAAACACATAATGAGGATTTTATTTCTGTTTCGTTACTAAACGCAACAGAATTATTTCTGAGGTTTTCTGCCCATCACTGGAAGACTGCGATAGTTGTTTCTCTTGTGTGGGTTTTTGCAATGAGAGAGAGAGAGAGAGTATTGGTGTGTGGTTGTTTAATTTGGGCTTACCTGTGTTCCAGAAAAGTAATTAAGGCTAGTGTAATGACAATATTGTGTTCATTTCTGCCTCTCGCCTTCCTGAGGGTGTTTGTAACGCTGCTGGATATTAGCACCGAAATGCTCAGATCAGCCTTGGTAGAGTTGCTTTTGCAACTCGCTTTGACATTCAGTTTTGATTTTGTAGCCTGCAGAGATATTACAGTTTTATGCGTACAAATGATAGGAAGGAAATGCCAGCAACGTATTGTATGACTTTTCTTGCACCTCTGGGCAAAAATAATATTACAGTGTTAAAAAGAGAGAGAGGGAGAGAAAGAAGCCCACTCCACTTTCTGACACCTCTTGTCTCACACACATTTGAACCACTGTCCTCGGGAGTGAAGGATCTAATTAACACACAAGCCCCCAAGTTCCTGTGACAGCCCTGCTTTCATTGCGACTTGTGAAGAATCAAGAGTTCTACCCCACTACCTAGTCTTGAAATTCAAGGGTGACTTTTTAATGAATAACCTAGGTACAGCATTTCCCCTCGCTGTGGAAATACTCAAATAGCCCTTTTCAAAAACAAAAAAACGGAAACACCATTGTATTACACGTCTGGAAAAACCATATATTTAAATACTAGCTTAGAGGGAGTGCCACCTATGGCACAGTGTCCCTTGAATTATTTTTGGGGAGCGGATGCATGAGGTTTGGAAGAAATTAAGAAATATTACATTCCTAGCTGGGGTCCAAAGAAGCTATTATATCGATAGATATTCCCTCAGAGTACTGCACACGTTCATTCAAAGGTACTTTAAACAAAATGTGAAGAGCAGTGCTCCTCAGCATAATATGCAACTTGTACATCACACTACTGATTTAAAATCCATGTTGCTTTCTAATAGGTTGGTGGTGATGTGGGAAATACTTTGTATTGCAGTAATTAAAAATAAGAACCAGGATGGGCTGCTATGTTGGGGTGTTTGTGTGTTTTATTTCAACCCCAGCTCTCCCAATGCGTTATTTACTTGAGTGATATCTACGAGTGCTGTTTGTTTTCTTTGTGGCATTCTATTTCAACATATTATGAAATTCAGATATAACTCTTAATACCACTACACTGAATTTTTAAGTAGTGTGCTCTGACGTCTGATAAAGTTATAAAGTTTAAATTTCCTAAGGACTGCTTTATGTTAATTTTGGGAAGTGCAATAATATTGCAACTGAAGGAGTCATACGAAGTAGCTTTCTTGACTTTAATTATTATTATTTTGCAGGGTTTTTAAAAATAAAATAAAACTGATTATTTACTAATACAGCCAGCCCTGCATTTGAAAGTACGTTTGTGTGTGTGTGTTGTGTAAATAAATAGATGGAGGTAAATACTGTGTGCGGGTCAGGTGAATATTGACAATCCCCAACAAAATTTATGAATGCCACTATTTTCTGGTATATGTTGCCACTTGCTGGAAGCTAAACTGGTGTATGCCAGCAAACTCGGTGACTAACGGCATTCAGTGAAGATATCTGTGCTGATACTGACCAAACCTGTAACTTTATAATCTTGATTTGCAGCTAAATCTATTTCTCAAATGATGGTAGCAAAGTATTGCTATCAATAATAGTAATACCCTGCCCACCTGGGCAGCTTACAGTATGTATAAAAACATAATAAAACATCAAACATTAAAAACTTCCCGATACAGGGCTGCCTTCAGATGTCTTCTAAAAGTTGCGCAGTTCTTAACACCTTGACATCTGATGGCAGGGTGTTCCACAGGGAGGGTGCCACTGCCGAGAAGGCCCTCTGCCTGGTTTCCAATTAAAAATATAATTAAAAAGCATGATATTGAGGAAGACTAGAAGGCTCAAAGACATGTTTTTTGAGCACCACAGAGAGAGAGAGAGAGAGAGAGAGAGAGAGAGAGAGGAAAATTAACTTCCATACCCTCAGCCACTCTTCAGGACAGTGTAGTTAGCACTATTGTTTGTTCTTGAATATTATAATGTTTGTTCCTCCTTTTGCTGGGCACGAATTCATTTCAGAAGCAAATGAATTGAAGAAGAAATGTCTTCCTGCGACCACTTCATAGAGTCCTGTAATTTGACATTCATTTGTTTGTTTCCAACCTCATCTGGCTCTCTTCCTCCCTCCCACTTTTTTTCCCTTTCCATTGAGGACCAAGATGAACTGGTCGCTGCATCATTGGGCCCATTACACTTCCTAACAATTCCATTTACACCTTATTGTTTGTCTTATTGCTGGAAAATTCAGGTGATTCATCATGCCTGAGGAAGCACCTGATCCCATTTCCCTCGATATCGCAATTGCTATGTGACAGGAATACAGTTAAGCGTTGGCTTCGAACCACCTAACCGTTCCAAGGTGATAACTCTTTGGGGGCTTTTAGCCTCTCAAGTATTGATGAGTTCCATTTTTCGTAATGCTGTGTATTCTTGCTTTCTTTCAACAGCCCTCTGAGCGAGGAAAAGGGTTTGGAGTTAATAAAGCAAGTTGCTGCCCAGCTGAAACTGCAGATGACGGCCTTTGCTGATATCAAGTATGTGCACAAAGTCCAGCCCTTCTATTAATCTCAGCTTAATTCCTAGATTGCTTCGACACTAACGTCCATCCTCAGCCACAATAATGCGATGGTTCTGAATTGTTTTAGGGTACATTGCTGATATATGCTTTACTCCCCTTTCCGTAATAGAGGGGGGAGACCCAATAAATTGGTTGGCAGTAGGCTCAGGTTATAGAAAACAGGGTATGTCTTCATACAATGCCTAATTAACCCTTAGAATTTACTACCATGATCTATGTTGTTGTTTTTTAAAAGGTTAAGACGAATTCACAGAGGATAGGTCTATCAACATCTATTAGTCGTGAGAATTACAGTGAAGTTTTCATTTTAAAGTTCAGCCTGAATTGTCTCTCAAGGACCACCCTCTTCCAGCCCTGTGACTCTGTAGAAGAGAGACTGCTAAATATAAATTAAGTAGATAAATAAATAAGAGTGAAGCGAAATGTCACTTAGAAGAAGGACCTGAAATATTTTCCTTGTAGCATGAATTTATTTTACTCTGGATTGTTTTTATGCAACGTTTTAATGTGTTGTAAACAGCTTTGAGATTTTTTTGGTTCTTTTATGTCAAGTAAATGGACAAGTACAGGTGATTCATTGCCATAGGACAGTCATGGCCAAACTTGGCCCTCCAGCTGTTTTGGGACTACAGTTCCCATCATCCCTGACCACTGGTCCTGTTAGCTAGGCATGATGGGAGTTGTAGTCCCAAAACAGCTGGAGGGTTTGGCCATCACTGCCATAGGAGCTAAGAACATGCTTCTAGCAGGGAGTATGTTCCCTTCCCACACATCATTGGAAGTCATGTCATCTGTGTTTGTGTGTGTATAGAAGAAGTACATCTTAAAAAGCAGAGACATCACTTTGCCAACAAAGGTCCGTATAGTTAAAGCTATGGTTTTCCCAGTAGTGATGTATGGAAGTGAGAGCTGGACCATAAAGAAGGCTGATCGCCAAAGAATTGATGCTTTTGAATTATGGTGTTGTAGGAGACTCTTGAGAGTCCCATGGACTGCAAGAAGATCAAACCTATCCATTCTTAAGGAAATCAGTCCTGAGTGCTCACTGGAAGGACAGATCCTGAAGCTGAGGCTCCAATACTTTGGCCACCTCATGAGAAGAGAAGACTCCTGGAAAAGACCCTGATGTTAGGAAAGATGGAGGGCACAAGGAGAAGGGGACGACAGAGGACGAGATGGCTGGACAGTGTTCTCGAAGCTACCAGCATGAGTTTGACCAAACTGCGGGAGGCAGTGGAAGACAGGAGTGCCTGGCGTGCTCTGGTCCATGGGGTCACGAAGAGTCAGACACGACTAAACAACTAAACAACAACAACAACAAGAAGTGCAATAGAGTGGCGGAAATGACTGGCAGAATCCGAGACCAGGGAGAAGAGTCGGTGGAAGAAGATTGGAAGAAATTTAAAGACTATCTACAGAAATACTGCAAAATTAATGAATGTTAGAATGATGTTGGATTGAAGTTAAGTGGTTTTTAGCAGCAATGTTATAAAGGAATATGTAAAAATGGGTTGTTAACAGGTGATAATCTGAAGTTATAATATATTAAGATAAAAGATTAAGATAAAATCAAAGAGGGAAAGGATTTGCTGAATTAACTAATTTGAACTGGAATACAAAAAAGGGAGGTGTGAGGAGGTCAGGGAAACAAGCAAATGAAAGATAAGATATGGAAAGACTGATCTGTTTTTTAACTGTTTTTATCTTGTATTTTCATTTTCTATTTTTTTCTCTTTTTTTCTTTCTTTTTTCGCTTATTTTTGTAATATGTTGAAACTTTAATAAATATCTTTTAAAAAAAAGAAGAAGTGCAATAGAGTGTCAGTACTGGAACTGATGCTGTGCCCAAGCAGATTATTCTGTGTGCAGGATTGGCACACTAGCTTCTGTATTTTCTGTTTTATCCCTCATCGATCTTCATTTCTGGTCTGCCACTGGGCAAAACTGTTAGTTTTGTCCCTCCTCTCAATCTCTGCCATTCTACCTTTCCCCATTCTGGGCACATGCCATGCAGAAAATGTCCACATGTGCACCTTTATTCCCCCCCTCCAGTGTCTAGAACAAATGTTTCCAGTTTTTCAAAAATGGATCATTCTATAGAAACCCAGCAGTATTGCAGTCAGCACTGGGTTGGAAGGGGATGTTTCGCTTTCCTAAATAGCATTTATTTTTGAGGGAGGGGAGACTAGGCACAAAAAATGAACGTACTGTATTTTTTAAAACTAAAACAATGGGGTGATGGGGCAGATATATAAGAACAGCAGCTGTTGAAAAAAAAATTGCATCCCTGAACAAATGCTATGCCAATGCCAGAAGAAGCAGGTCACTTGCAGGCTTGGCTTCAGCCATTGTGGGTGAGGCTAGCTAGGCAAGGGACAAAGAGGAAGAAGTCAATTTCTGTCCGTTTTGCATGAGAACAAGAGGGAAGGGGGACAAGTTTAAGAGACAGCTTGGTGGCGGTGGGGAGATTGTTATGTTTTTAAAAGTTTTAATAAATAAATAGATCAATAAATAAACAAAGGCCAGCCGCCATCTCTGCCAGCAGCATTTGTCCACAGTGGCCTCTCTTTCCTCTTCTTTGTTACAGCGGATGAAAACAATTGTACAGCCTTGTGCATGACCTCCTTATTAAATACAGTTTTATAAAGCTGATATATGTGCTGCCATTACAGCCTCCGGGGTGTGCAAAGTGGGGAGGGAGGGAGTGTGTATAGTTTGCAAACAGCACTACTTTTGCAAGAGCGAGGCAGCGATGGTGGGCATCAGATTTGCAACCCAAAGGCAGTGAGGGATTGTTTCTTTTGGATTTTTCAACAGTATGCACAGGGTCTGCACTGGGTCTGTTGGGTTCTGTGCTAGCGGTGCCTCCCCCCCAAGGCCCCGTTTTGGGGTTTTCTGTTCTGGTAGCTCATGCCCACCATTGGAATAGGTGCATTACTATACTTCTCAGTGGCAGAGCTTCCCTGCCGGTGGAGACTGGTCGAATAATAATAAATAATAATAATTTATTATTTGTACCCTGCCCATCTGGCTGGGTTTCTCCAGCCACTCTGGGCGACGTCCAACAAAAATCAAAAATACATTAAAATGCATAGCTGTCAACGTTTCCCTTTTTTAAAGGGAAATTCCCTTATTCCGAATAGGATTCCTTGCAAGAAAAGGGAAAAGTTGACAGCTATGATTAAAATGTCACACATTAAAAACTCCCCTGAACAGGGCTGCCTTCAGATGTCTTCTAAATGTCAGGTAGTTGTTTATCTCTTTGACATCTGATGGGAGGGCGTTCCACAGGGCGGGCGCCACTACCAAGAAGGCCCTCCGCCTGGTTCCCTGTAGCTTTGCTTCTCGCAGTGAGAATAAGGCAGGGCAGGTTAAAGGGACACCTCTGATGCACCCAAACCTCCTCCTGCACTAGGGATTCGGGATTTGGATTGCTCTTGTTACTTATACAGTGGTACCTCAGGTTAAGTACTTAATTTGTTCCGGAGGTCCGTTCTTAACCTGAAACTGTTCTTAACCTGAAGCACCACTTTAGCTAATGGGGCCTCCTGCTGCCGCCGCACCGCAGGAGCACAATTTCTGTTCTCATCCTGAAGCAAAGTTCTTAACCCGAGGTACTATTTCTGGGTTAGCGGAGTCTGTAACCTGAAGCGTATGTAACCTGAAGTGTATGTAACCCGGGGTACCACTGTAGTAAGCATGTTTAAGATTGCAACCTATATAGTCTCGGGTGCGGTGCCAATAGCATGCTACCTGTGATTATACTTAAGTTATCCAAACTGTTTCTGTAGCACATGTGGCATTCGACATGCCAAGTACAGAATTGCAAAGACAAGATGATGAAAACAAGGGTTTGGGCATTTCAGCTTGCAGGCATTTCAGCTTGTTGTTCTGGCTGCCTTCTTGATCTTTTATGAAAGTACTAGTTATGGTTAATCTGTTTTGTTAATGGTTATGTAGCTGTGAAACAAATTCCATTATTTTGTATTACATCATTAGGGATCATTAAAAGAATATTAAAGCGCCAGAATAATTATGCAAGCAGACACAAAATGATAAGTTTGATTTTATAATCCAATTACGAGTGTCTGTGGCCTCTGGTGATTGATTGCTGGACCAATATTGTAGGAGATGAAAGTGGGTGGCAACATCAATAGGCATTCTGTTAGTCCATGTGCTGCTGCTTCTACCACAAATGTGTTTTGCGACAATGGCTGTGTTCACACTCTCGTTTACTGCGTTTTCATTACTGGGTATTTAATCCTTGTTTACATGACATTATCCTAACCATATAGGTATCCTAAACTTTTGACACAAAATACTAGTGCTTGGTATGTTGTTTCTTAAACCAGCTTCACACTAATTGGAGCCATTCCCAATTAATCTCTAGCCAAGTTGTGCACCCCTTGGCAAAGGGCAAAGACGTACTTCCCCCAACAGTGCCCCCTGGTGCGAACACACGAGCAGAAATGAAGGAAGCTGTGCTGATGTGAACAGATAGGTGGGAAAGAGCTGTGAAACGTAATGATGAGAAAAACAACTTCACTACGTTTTAAGGGGGTAATGTGATCACACACCAATGCCTTTCCTCTGAGAGTTTCTCCTCTCTTAATTATCATATAATGAACTTCTATATAGCAAACCAACCTGAAGTAAATCTAGGTACAATCTGTTTCCTTTAAAAATAAATAAATCTATTTTGCTTATTTGTGGTTTGCTAGACCTTACTTCCCATGGGTTTATTTTAACTGGGAATTCTAATTCTGTATCCTAAAGCATAATGGTAGAGTAAATTGAAATATATGAGACAAACCAATAATAATAATAATAAAACCCAAGGCATAGGAGTTCAGTGAATGTTCAAGTAAAGCCTGTATCCACAACTTGAAAACAGGGCTTATCAAGTGGTGGCAGCACCAGCAGTATTGGTCAAAGATGCTTTGCTACCCAAAAAGAAGAGCAAGAAGGCACCTCTCCCCGCTTCCAA